TTTCTTTCTTTTTTTTTTTTTCTGGAACCAGGGATTGAACTCAGGCCTTTGCGCTTGCCAGAGAAGTGCTTCTTCTACTGAGCCATCTCCCCTGCCCCATAAAGTGTTTCTTAGAATTACTGTTGTGACCATGAAGTGGGATTCAGAGAAGTGCCAGGGTGACACAACAGTGGGGAGCAAGGTCACTCAGCTGCCTGAGAGATCAAGCTCTTTCAAGATTTGGAATCTGAGAAGAAAATAGTATTGTGCTAGACAAGAAAAGCATCAAGGAGGCCACCAGTCTGTAGCTGAGCAAAGGAAGAGCCCACACAGCCCCCACTTTCTGCAGCATCTCCATGGCTCCCAGCTGCTAGAAGCAGGACTTTCATTGCTAAGCAACAGAGTCCAGTGCATTAAAATCAATTTCTTGAGCTTGGAGGAAAGAGTAGGGAGAGAAGGTGGAATGCAGATGCCTTGGGAAAGCTCATCCTTGCCTCTAAGTTTTGCTGAAGAACCATAGGTACAGGTATTTGTAGGTACAGATATTCACTATAAATATCTGAAATAAGGCTGCAATTAAGATGCAGATTAAGCATTAATGAATGCTAATGCCGCTCATTTGTAAAAGAGACTCCTGGAAAGGCCTGTAGTTCTTGGGTTCTTTCTGAATCATCTAGCTACCACAGATAATAGAGAGCAGGGTTTTTTTTTTTTTTCAGCTGTAGATTTTTATTTTTAAGAACATAGCAAGTAACAAATGGCAATGACAAAGAAACAGGCACTTATATGCTAAACAAAACATTTTCCCCATAGATACAATACTGATTTATCACCAAACCATGGGGCCAGCTCATTAAGCTTAGTAGCTTCTGTATGGGCTGAGGGAGTAGCTTTCCCTACTCACTTAACATTGTTCAGATTCTATTGAAGCTTGTAGTGCAGCTCACTGCCCTTGGGTAGATGCTGCGAGCTGGAAGAGGACTGCCAGTCTGTTAATATTAGCACCAGCAAACAGGATGTTAACATTACAGATCTAGGTTAAGAATCTGGGATGGGTCTCATCAGAAAATTGAGCTATACAAACACTTAAAGCCATTCTACAGAATTTATGAGCTTTAAGATGTTTATAACTTTCAGAGCTGTGGACATTAAGTACTCACACTACATAGATAATGAACAAAAGTTATCTGTAGGAAAAAAAGGACAGTGTAGAAATATTTATACAAGGAAAGCAAATTCAGAATGAAGTAATATTTACAGGGGTTAAAAATCATTTGTCTTTAACCATAATAAGGCCCCTGTGAGCTCCCAGAACCTTGGCTTTCTTCTCCTTCCATTCTTGCTCGTGTTTCTTCCGTTGCTCTTCCCTGGTCTGGATAGGAGGTTGTTTGTAAGTTTTCTTATGGAAACTTACTCTGCTCACATGTTCATTCAGAGAATTATTTTCTTTAGATTGCCCCCATGGTTTCAACTTTCCTTTATGGGGCTCATAGTTCAGGGGACGAGACAAACTTGCTTTGAGGTCAAATACTGGTTTCTTATTGGAGACAAGAGTCTGCATTCCCACAGTTGTCAACTTGAATGGAGTAATAACAGTAGCAGCAGACTTCCCCTTTGTGGTCTTTAACGTGGGTGTCCTGAAAACAGTCTGGCCTTTTGCCATGTTCTCAGCCATGGTGACATGTGGAGACTTTCTGGCTGGAGTCTTGGTCAGTGAACGCTTATGCTCATTATCTTTAGTTGCAGCTGAAAATCTGACGTTCATTTTCGTCCCTGAGAGAACAGAATGCTTAGCTGACCCTTTTAGACTCATAGCGCTCCTCCTGGCAGGGCCTTGGGCCTGGCCTTGTGAGCGCTGCTGGCTGGCGGGAGTGCAAGCTGTGGAGAGGCTTCCTGGAGGCTTGGGTGTCATTACCCCTTGCTCACTGCTGGACTGCTTCTTCATTTCATGAGAGGAGTGGTGTTTCTTTCTTCTCTTAATATATTCATCA